GGGGCACCTCAGAGGTCGGAGAAGGATAAAGAGCGTCGGGAGAAGGAGAAAGTCCCCGAGGAGCCGAAGAAGAGGAAGCTAGTGCACGTCACCAAGTCGTCAGGAAAATTCGGGACCTTTGTGTCCCATGAAGGCAGAGAAATCACTTAGCCGAAGCTCCTTGCATCCGCCTCGAAAGGGTAAAGATAGAAATGGTTCGACGAGCCGAGGCTGAGGAAAACAAGGAAGAGGCTGCGAGGAGGGCAGCTGAGGCGGCAGAGGAGGAGGTCGCCAAGCAGAGGCATGCGAGGGTGCAAGGAAAATCTCCGAGCTTCCTTGCCGGAAAGGAGGAGGTTCTAGCTCCAGCATTGGTGGAGGCTCTGCCACCTAATAACCGAAGTGCCACAGAAAGCTTCTACAAATTCTGGACAGATCGGTGGCAGTTGTATGCCTCCTCATGTGACGCCACGGACTTGACAAAGGCCCTCGTGAGCCAAAGTGTGAGAGCCTTTGGTCTCGCACTAGACTGCAGAGAGGCCCTCTAACTTTCAAACGAGGACCTAGTCCTCGGAGAAGAAGATGGTCTACCTTGCAGAGGAGCTAAAGGGAGCTAGAGCCGAGGTGGAGGAAGCGAGGGCCCAAAAACTTGAAGATGCGGCCAAGTTGGAGTCTGCCTTGGCTCAGATCGAGGTGTTGAAGAAGGAGGTGTATGAGTCCCAGTGCGATGTGGCCTCCTTGACTAAGAAAGTGGAGGTTTCCAATGACCATCAGAAGGTGACTGCTGAAGCCTTAGAGAAAGCAAATTTGGAGCTGGCTGGGGCTTAAGACGCGTACAAGTTCTTGGAGGGCCAGATAAAGTGGTATGTGGATGATGTAACCAAGGCAAGTGAGGAGGCCCATGATACGAGGGAGAAGGCGGTGAAAGACTACGCCAACTTCCACAATACTGAGGAGTACAAGAGTTTCAGCACTTACTGGAGAAATTTTGCTTATGCCGAAATGATGGAGAGGGTTGAGGAACTCTACCCAAATTAAGACCCGTCACAGCTGAGATCGAAGTTTGTGGATGAAGTACCTCAAACCCCAGCTGATGAGGAGGTTGGAGATGAAGTAGCAGAGGCAGAAGAAGGAAGTTCTAATGCTCAAGCCATGGAGGCCCCGGCTATTGAGGCACCTCCATTGTCGTCCCAAGCTTAGGCTAGTTTTCTTTTCAGTTATTTCTGTACTGGCCTCAGGCCCCCCTTTTGTAATCTTGATTGAGAATCAATATAGTATCATCTTTCATTCAATGTTGTTTTTTTCCTAAGTACATTGACCTCGTCAAGCAATTGAACTTAATGTTGATTGAAGAAATAAATAACTTTAACTTGGTATCCTAACTCCAATCACTTGAACAAGTAAATTGTACGCAAGCCTCATGAGTCATAGCCAATATTGAACTGCAAACGACTTGTACTTAAGCTTAATAATTGTAACCTGAATGGATCTTAATCGGACCGTGTTTCAACTGAACTGGGAATATTGCTGTCTAATTCAAAAGCTAGTTGCATGAAGCTAGTAGTGGTTGAGCCTTGAGACTTCTCCCAGTGGCGTTCAGCCTCGTCAAAGGGAGGCAAGTGCATGCGCCTCGGAGTTCAAATGAGGTGGCCAAAAGATGGGATGCTAGCCTCTCCTCCGAGGCGATGAGGCTTCCCAACATGGTGGATGGTTCAGCCATGCTGAGACTTCTCCTAGTGGCGTTCAGTCTCGTCAAAAGGAGGCAAGTGTATGCACCTCAGAGTTCAAATGAGGTGGCCCAAAGATGGGATGCTGGCCTCTCCTTCGAGGTGATGACACTTCCCAACATGGTGGATGGTTCAGTCATGCTGAGACTTCTCCCAGTGGCATTTAGCCTTGCCAAAGGGAGGCAAGTGCATGCGTCTCGGAGTTCAAATGAGGTGGCCCAAAGATGGGACGCTGGCCTCTCCTCCGAGGTGATGACGCTTCCTAACATAGTAGATGGTTCAGCCATGCTGAGGTTTCTCCCAGTGGCGTCCAACCTCGCCAAAGGGAGGCTAGTGCATGGGCCTCAGAGTTCAAATGAGGTGGCCCAAAGATGGGACGCTGGCCTCTCCTCCGAGGTGATGACGCTTCCCAACATGATGGATAGTTCAGCCATGCTGAGGCTTCTCCCAGTGGCGTTCAGCCTCGCCAAAGGAAGGCAAGTGCATGCGCCTCGAATGAGGTGGCCCAAAGATGGGACGCTAGCCTCTCCTCCGAGGTGATGACGTAATGCGACACGTGAATTTAATCATGGATAATTTTATTGAGTCATGGAAATGTTACATAAGCTGGGAAAGATCGTCCAGCTAGGTAGTATATTAATTGATAATAGATTCGAAGGTGCTCAATGTTCCATGGACGAGGTTGTGCATTGTCGTTCATGTCTTCAATCGAGTAGGTTCCTGGTCGGATCTCCTCTCTGATTTTATATGGACCTTCCCAGTTCGGGCCCAGGGAATCGGTGCCAGGTTCCTTCGAAGAGAAGAAGACTCTCCTAAGGACTAAGTCGTTGATTCGAAATGAACTCTTCTTTACCTTTGAGTTGAAGTACTTCGTCATCTTTCTTTGATATGTGTCGAGCTTCAGCTGGGCGTCATCTCTCCTTTCCTCAATGAAGTCGTGGTCGCACCTGCAAAGCTCATCGTTTGTTATCTCACTAAAATACAAACGTTGTGGAGATGGAAGTCCGACCTCAACGGGGCTCATCGCCTCATTCCCAGATGCCATGAGGAAAGGCGTTTCCCCTGTTGGGGTCCTCGCAGTGGTTCGAATTGCCCAAAGAACTTGTGGCAGCTCATCTACCCAGGCTCCTTTTGACACATCAAGCTTCCTTTTCCGAACGTGCTTGATTGTCTTGTTCACAGCCTCAACTTGGCCATTTGCTTGTGGGTGGTGAGGCGTGGAAAAGTGTTTCTTGATGCCAAGTTCTTCACACAAACTTCTGACCTTCTTGTTGTCAAACTATCTACCATTGTCTGAGACGATCGAGTAGGGAATCCCGAACCGACATATGATATTCTTCCACAAGAACTTGGAAGTGTTGGCTTCTGTAATTTTTGCCAGGGGTTCAGCTTCAACCCACTTCGTGAAGTAATCAATGGCCACAATTGCGAAGCTCGCACCTCCTCTGCCTTTCGGTAGAGGACCTATGAGATCCACCCCCCACTTCAAGAAAAGCCAATGGCTGGAGACCGTGGGTAAATCTTGCGATAGTTGTCTTTGGATAGGAGAGAATCGTTGGCATTTGTCACATTTTCGTACAAACTCGAGGGCATCCCTCTTCAAGGTAGGCCAGTAGTAACCCTGCCTCAGTATTTTTTGTGCTAAAGATAGACCTCCAGAGTGGTTGTCGCACACACCCTCATGGACTTCTCTTAAGATGCAGGTAGCCTCTTCTTCTCCGACGTATCATAAGAGTGGAGAAGAGAAGCTCCTCTTACAGAGTACATCATCAATGAAGAGGAAACGGGCTAACCTCCTCCTTAGCTTGTATGCCTCATGCTTGTCAATGGGAAATGTCCAGTCCTTGAGCTATGCCACGATGGGTTGCATGCAGGTAAGAGTCCCAATGACCCACATCACATTAGGGGCCTCGGTTGATGGCATGAGGAGGTGCTCTATAGGGACTACTGTGAGTAGTTCCGAATCCTTACTACTTGCCAGTTTGGAGAGTGCATCCGCATGTGCGTTTTCGATGCGGGGGATCTGGATCACCTCAAACTTTTCGAAGGATGGGTGAGGTTCATCACCATTTTCAAGTAGGAGGCCATTGTTTTGTCCCTGGCTGAGAAGTTACTATTGACCTAGCTAACGACCAGTTGGGAGTCGCTACTGATGAATAGCCTCTTTACTTGCATTTCTTTGGCTAACCTGAGGCCTGCGAGAAGTGGCTCGTATTCTACTACATTGTTGGTGGCCTTGAACCCGAACCTCACCGCCGAGTTCAGCTTGTGACCTTCCGGGCTGATGAGGACAACTCCGGCACCTGAGCCAGCATCCCCAGTCGGCCCATCAACGAATAGGTTCCATGTAGGGGGTTCCGCTTGTTCCATGATTTCATCTACCTCGGGTAAGTCGGCAAATTCTACCACAAAGTCGGCTAAGGCTTGGCCCTTGATGGCTACCCTAGTCTTGAACATGAGGTCAAATTCACTTAGCTCCACCGCCCATTTCAATAATCTCCCTAGGTATTGGGGTTTTGAAGTACCTGCCTTAGGGAAATTTTTGTCAACACATGGATAGTGTGGGCTTGGAAGTAGGGTCTCAACTTCCTGGAGGCCGTGATCAAGGCCAAGGCGAGGTTCTCCATATCGAGGTAGTAGGTTTCCGGCGATAGGAGTGCGTTACTTGTATAGTAAATGGGGAGTTGGGTAGTTCCCTCTTCTTGGATTAGAACCGCACTAATGGCCTCATTAAAGACGGCTAGATACAACTGTAGAATTTCACTGGGCTTCGATTTGGAGAGGAGGGAGCTTGCCCCAAGTGCCTTTTCAAGCCCTGGAAGGCCTCTTCATATTCCTCATTCTACTGGAACTTCTTCCCAACTTTTAGCACTTTAAAAAATGGGAGGCATTTGTCCGTAACTTTGGAGACGAAGTGGCTAAGCGCAGCCACTCGTCCAGTCAAGCTTTGCACCTCCTTTGGCTTTTGGGGGGGACCTCATCTTGCATAGGACCTCAATTTTCTCAGGGTTGGCTTCAACACACATTGGTTAACCATGTATCCTAAGAATTTACCGGAGGCCACTCCGAAGGCGCACTTGAGGGGGTTGTGCCTCATCCTATATCTTTTCAAGATTGGAAGGTACTGTTGAGGTGCGTTATGTGGTCCCCAGCTTCTAAACTCTTTACCAGCATGTCGTCTACGTAGACTTCCATTCTCTTGCAGATAAGGTCCACAAACATTTTGTTGACGAGCCTTTGATATGTTGCTCCGACGTTTTTGAATCCGAATGGCATCATCTTGTAGCAATAAAGGCCTCAGTCTATGATGAATGATGTGTGTTCCTCATCGGCTGGGTGTATGGGGATTTGATTGTAGCCAAAGTATGCGTCCATGAACCTCAATAACTCATGCCCCGTCGTGGAGTCTACCAGTTGGTCAATCCTTGGAAGTGGAAAGCTGTCCTTTGGGCAAGCTATGTTGAGGTTAATGAAATCAATGCACACCCTCCACTTGCCGTTGTGTTTCTTCACCAAAACTGGATTGGAGACCCACCTCGGATAGGTGGCCTCCCTGATGAAGCCATTCTGGATAAGCTTCTGAACTTTTTCCTTCAGGGCCTCGTACTTCTCAAGATTGAGGGCTCTCTTTTTTTGTCTATGCGAGGCAACCTTAGGATCAATTTTCAGGTGGTGGCAACTGACCTTGGGATCTATGCCTACCATATCCTCATGCCTCCAAGCAAAGATATCGAGGTTTCTACTTAGGAAATCCTTGAGCTTTTCTTTCACAGTGCTGGATAAGCCCTTGCCCACCTTCAACAATTTGGATGGGTCTCGGGGGTCTACCGAGAAGCTCTCAAGTTCCTCAACTGGGGATGTTTGAGGTTTGTGTTCGATTACGTGGAGATCGATCTCATCGATGACCAATACCTCTGGATTGGGTGGTACGTCAATCATTTCGACATCTTCCGATTCGGCGGAAGCATCACCTGGGGCATCAGCCATGACTACGTCGGCAATAATTACGTGGACATCCTGGGGCTCTATCTTTTTTATGGAGCTTAGATAACATTCTCTTGAGCCTCTTTGGTCGCCTCTCACCGTTGCCACCACATTTTCAGTCGAGAATTTCATGCATAGGTGGTGGATGGAGATGACGGCTCCCAATTCTTTTAGGGCTGGCCTACCCAATACTCCGTGGTAGGCCGATCGACTGTCGACAATAAGGAATTCCATGAAGTTCATTGTGGTTTGAGGAACTGCTAGTGTGATTTTTCCTCTCGAAGTGATGTTATCTCCTGTAAATCTATATAAAGGAGTGGTGGTGGATGTTAACTCATGGTCCAGTATCATCTTGTTAAAGGTGGATCCGAATAGAATATTGACGGAGCTACCATTGTCAACTAACATTCGTTTGAGCCCATTCCGGGCTATGACTGTTCTTACCGCAAGTGCATCGTAGTAAGGATAGTGAACCCCTTCGGTGTCCTCTTGAGTGAAGGCAATAAGTAGAACTTGATCCCTCCGGGAGCTGTGGCCCACAATGTAGCTGGTAAGCTGGGGGCGCTTGACCTCATGGCATAATTCCTTTTATCGTTTCGCGTTTCACCGCCTACATATGGGCCTCCAAAAATGGTATCCACCTCGTGGATAGGGGCCTCATCCTGAGCATGTCGATTTCTTCGGGGTCTGCGCCCTTCTGTAGGCTTCTCTGCATCACGCTCCCTTCGTCACGGAGAAACATCTCTTTGACGTGAAGCGGCCTCTTCACGCCCAGGTTGGTTATCGTACCTTGGCGGGGGCCTATTTGCCTGTGGCGATTCATTCCTATCCCTAGGGGGTTTCTGCTGGGAACGGTGAACATAGTCTCGACAATCTATTGTATCGTGTCCATAGGACCGATGGTATACACAGTATCCAGGTGGGTTTTGACTCGACCTATTTCTAGATCTCAAACGCCGGCCTCGGCCTCGGCCTCTCCCCCTACAGGATCCTTGCGGAGTTCCCATCTGCTGGGTGTTAGCGACTGGGTTGATATCCTCATATGCCAATGTAGGAACGCCGTTAAGAGTGGTGGTGGCAAGTGCTTGTCCAGAACTTTCATTACCAATTTGGTTCATTTGATAGTCCATTAAGTGGGAGGTTGGCCCTCTAGCACACCGCCTTTGAGGAGGTGGGATGCCTTTATTCGCCCTGTTCCTATGCTCAATCAATTCTTCATTGATGATCTCCCGTCTCATCATCTCGAGTAGGGCATCATAGGTGGTGGGGTCTTGATTTTGCACGTCTCTCTTGAACAGGGTGTTCATGTTCAGACCTCCTCTCAATGCAGACAATGCCTCACAGTCGGTGACTTGCACGCAATAAGTCATCTCATCGGTGAAATGTGATAGGAAGCTCTTTAGGGACTCCCCATGTGCCTGCCTCATGTCTTAGAAACATTGGATGGGGGCCTCTCCCTCTTTGCTCACTGCGAATCTCTTCAGGAAGGTCGTCTTGAATTCGGGCCAACTTCTTATGCTCTCAGGTGGTAACCTACTATACCAAATTTCAGCTGCTCCGCTAAGTGTTAAGTGGAAAGCTCTGCATTTCACAGTTGGGGTGGCGTCCCTTAGTCTCATGTGAGTTTTGTAAGCATTCAAGTGCTTCTCTAGGTCGCCTCTTTCGTCATACTTTGGTATCTTTGACATAACATAATGGTTCAGGACCTGGGCGCTCCTTAGTTCCCTTGAGAATGGCAAGTTTTCATCATCATCGTCTAAGTCACAGGATATCTGCTGCTCATCTAAATCGTTTTCTTCAACCTCATACCTTGGTTGTTGGTGAGAGGTTCCGGGATGGTTCCTAGCCTCTTCCTCCCTCCTTTGGCGCCTATTTCTAGGTGGAGCGACACGAGGGGCATTTTCATGCATTTCCTCCGACTGTTAAAGCATTGGAGGTGGAGGTGGAGGCGGTGGCCTTGTCCAAGGCTCGTGATGCTGTTGTTGTCTGAGCCTCGGTTCAGTAGGGCTAATTCTGTCAAATACACTGCCTGACCTCCTATGTCTTTGCTCTTGATCATACGGAGGTGAGAAGTTATTATGGTTCAAAGGGACCTCGGTGGGTCGGCCAGAAGCGTAGTTGGAGGAAACGTCAACTTCTACTTCCCTTTCAAATGAGCTTCTACCTCGGCTATAGTCCGACGAGGTGGCACTATGGCTTTGAACTTCATCTTCTTGTTGGTAGTGCCCTTGAGGGGCGTATGGGAGAATAGGAAAGCCTCCCTGGCCCTGCATTTGGGCCATAAGTTCCCTCATAGCCATGTTTTGGCTAGCAATGTCTCTCATATTAGCTGTCATGGCGGCCATTTCTCTTGACAGTCGGGGCGTCGCACGCATTCCACCTCTTCTATGGTTGTGGTGGAGTCTATACCGAGCTGCAGGAGCAGCTGCTTGAGGGGGCACATTAGCATTTTCTCTTACCTTCCTGGGGGTGCATTTTCGTTTGAACTCATTTTCCTTGTGTCTTACCTTTTAGATTTTTGCTAAGTCGTGGGGCTTCCTCTTATTCTTTTTCAAGAACAAATCATTTTTCAAGGGGGATGCCCAAATGTTCCTCTTTAACAAGCTTTCACCACAAGGTTGTTCGTGGTTGCGGTATGATTTCTCACAGACGGCGCCAATATATTGACCCCAGAATATGTTGCCAACAGATGCTGGACCCACCCGCACACACGTAAGTGAAAGTCGAACGCGCAAAGACACGTGGACGATCTAAAACAGACAGATCAAGAGCGTGGGAGTAGCTCAACAGTGCGGGACGAGAACGTTCGGAATCTGATGAGATGTTCGTAAACCGATTGTACAATAATTACCAATCGATGTTTGTAAATATGTAAACTCGTATGTGTTAGAAGATAATCAGAGAGAGAGAGAGAGAGTCGAATAAAGTATGATTTCTTGTATTGATTCTTGCCTCAGCCTCCATATGGGGTACATGGGAGATTATTTATAGTGTCACAAGTTAGATCGTGACCTTTAGTTCGGGGTATACATGGTCTCATCCGATTAATTTACATGTCAAATTGTAGGCATCAGCCGCACCTAGCCTGCAATACATTTAGTGATTGGCAGAGCCGCCTCTACTAGTGACAAGATTTAACATTTACACTCATGACAAACGTCTTATGAATTATTCTAGTAAGATCTTTGTGCGGATGATCTATTGGGAGAAGTGTCATGGGAGTTGCTGCTTTATGACTTGGAGGCTTCCACCTCAGCTACAGAGCTTCAGCCAACAAGGCCTCGACATATGTGCTTCGGAAGCTCCTCAAGAGGCAATGATAAATGGGCATCGGTGTATATGGGCCTAGACATCTGTGGACCTCAATTTGTGGGCCTCGACTATACAAATCACCTCGGATTGAGTGCCACGTGGTTCAGCATGAGTTGGCTGTGGGCCCCGATGGGTTGCGCAACTGTGCGAACACGTAACAACCTCCATCAATAATTAAACCACATACCTTATTCTCCACATGGCATCTAGTGTGAAAGATATTTTCTCGTTGTTTCTCCTCTTCATCCACCTTGATTTGTGTGTTGAGTGCACGCATTAGCACAAGGGCTTCATTGTCCACCGTATGCTCCAACACTTCATCACCACTAATATCCTCTATTTCAGGCATCCCGTCTCCATCACTATCACTAACTACTTCTCCATTAACACTCAAGATCATTGCTCTCTTGTTAGGACATTGAGATGCAATGTGCCCGTTTCCCAAGCATTTGAAGCATTTAATGTCCCAGCTTCTAGTAGTTTGTGACTCCGCCTTTGGTGGTTCCTTGACAGTATTTTCTTCCTTCCCACTTGGCACTTCAGCTTTATTGTTTGCAACAGCCCCATCAACCCTGTCATCATCCCCTCTCAACCTCCAAGCTGAGTTAGGCCCCGATTGATTTCTAGCTATCCCCTTCCGCTTCAACTGTCGTTCCACCTTCATAGCCACATGCAGCATATCCTCCAACTCTACATAGTACTACAACTCCACCACATTAGCAATATCTCTGTTCAACCCATTTAAAAAAAGAGCCATACTGGCTTCCCAGTCCTCCTCCAGATTCGCCCTAATCATGAAGATTTACATCTCCTTGTGATAGTCCTTCACACTCCTAGAACACTGATTTAACCCCTACAACCTTTGATGGAGTTCCCTATAGTAATGGCTAGGTATAAATCGTTTTCTCGTCATCGCCTTCAACTCACTCCACGTGTTGATAGGCTTCTCCTGATTCCTACGCCTCGATGTCATCACCTGATCCCACCAAGTGATCGCGTAGTCAATAAATTCAAGGATTGCTAACCTTACCTTCTTCTCCTCAGAATAATTATAACACTCAAAAATTAATTCCACCTTCCTTTCCCACTCCAAGTACGCCTTTGGGTCACTCCTCCCCTTAAATTGAGGAATGGACATTTTGATATTGCCCATCCGCTTCATCTCCCTGATTATTCCTACCCCGTCGTTTAAAACGATCCCCTCTATTCCTCATTCTCCCCTATTCAATTCCATGAAACTCATTCTCATCCAAATCACTACCATACACATATTCCTCTTGCGTCTCTACCCTAGGTCCCTGCCTACCATGTCCCATATGAAGATAGGTAACAGATGCATCAAGCCTATCTATCCTATCACCCATATCCTTTAACATCCTCTCAAACTGCCTCATCACATCGTCAAACATACTTTTTTGACCACCAATTCTGCTTGAATTCAATCCTTCACTGCCAAACATCCTAAACTAAAAAATAAAAATAAAAAAAATTATTTTTACCTTACCAAAATTCACTCGGGAATCACTCAATTTCGGCTTTTACCCTCAATGAATCTCACTACTCAGCCTTTTTCCACTCACTGTTTCCAATCAATGTTTCAAAGAACAATTCAAATTCAATATCTTGTGGAGATTCAATTGGATTGTGGGTAAGACTCGGGAAATTTTTAAGACTCAAAGAACGGACAGAAATTTTGGAATGAATTATGAAAATTCAAAAAGTGATCTTGAATTTCTGACTGATTGAACTACCTTGATAGAAACTTTAATATGAATTCAAGAAAGTGGTTCTTGAATTGGAATTTGATACAATAAAAATTTTTTTTTACCCAAATAATGACTTTGACTTTTTTTTTTTTTTAATTTTCGGACAGTGAACAGCTAAAAAAAATTTGATTTTTTTTACTCATTAAATAGAAAATTCGACTACAACGCTAACGAAACGAACGAAAGTTGATTTGAACGCAAATTGAATCCAAAAACAACTTTTGAAATTTTTTTTTGGATTTTTGTGTATTAAAGAATCGAAATTAATAACTGACTCCCGAAAAAATAAAAAATAAAAAAAAAACTGACTCAATAAGAAAAGGAAAAGATATAACCTTCGATTTTGGAGCCTTAACTCTAATACCAAATGATGCGAACCTGATAGCAACGAACACTAACGAACCCACAACTAGATTGACTCAATTCCCAAAAACGCCAAATAATCGATGGTTTTGGATTTAATCCCCAATCAAGGAACTAAGCAACCACAAGTATATAAACTAATGACCTCTTAATTACACGAAATAATGATCTCACCCGAATAATTGTGAACGCCACAAGAAATAATGAATTCCTTGATAAGTTCAATTGTTCTAACAAAAAAAAGGATTGGAAGCAAAATCGCTCAATGAATAGAATCTCTCAAATTGTCAAAAAAAGTCCATTATGATGAAAATAATATTCTATTTATATGAAAAACCTAAAATCTAATTAAGAACGGAAAAAATGCATTCAAAATATTAAAAAGATCAAAACTCTAGTAAAAATAGGAAACTCGTGAAAACTGCAACTTCGATCCCGAAATTACTGCTATGCAACCACATAGAAGAAATCTATGCGGTCGCATAGATCAAACCTTGACTGCATCCAAATTCCCTACACCTCCTCATGCGACTGCACGATATATGTGCTATGCAGTCACATAGCATCTTCTTTGGCTCCACAATCCGATTGTTTGAATTATGTGGCTCCAAGTTGTTTTGGTCGTCAATCCCTTCATATGACTTATCACTTAACAAATTAACTTCACTTGCTCGGCCCTTAATGGTTCTTGAATATCTCAAATGTGGCTTTGGCTTCGTCCAATCAATCGTCATATCTTCAATAATTGGTGGCGCATCCCGAATCATATCAAACTCATTCAAATTTCATCACATCATCTATTGATAAACATATCTGTAATTATATTATACATGTAACATAATCATCTAAATTTTGATTTGGTTGAATTTTCGTTATTTAGACTTGAATTTGAAACCTTAATTTGAAGAAGACTTACTCTTCTTGAAATTTCCGAACACAATTTTTTCTCCTCTTTTTACTTTAGACTTTTATTTGCACATGAAACCATGAATACTTCTTGATATGCCCATGTTTGAATCCTATTTTCAATCACACATTTCTCAATAAAATAATATTACAACATATTTAAAGTTATTTTTATTTTTTAAATACACATTCTCTATCAGCCGATTTCAAAATGAATTCTAACCTAAAAAAATGGGGCTCAAACATGGTAGCTTAATTTTATTTACATGAATGTGAATAAGCAGAAAAGGAAAGAACTAGGGTTTGAACTTGGGATGAAATTTTTATCATATCATAGTTTTGTAAAAGTAAAGACGACCCTCCAGTGATTTGTACTGGGTAAATTATTCAATCAAGATGCTAGAATTCACTTGAACATAAAATTCAGTTATCAGTCCCAAATAAATTAAAATTGAGAGAGATAACAAATAAATGCAAAGTCTAGTAGCCATCAGCAAAATTAATTCATTTCACAAAACTTGATAAGCTCTAATAAATTCTAAATTTTGTCTAATTCCTCCAATTTAAAAACATCTCATTACACAATTCACACCCAATATATGTTAGTTTCTCTTTTCACAAATCCCCCAAAGGAAAGGTAAATGGAAATGTTGTTCTCCAACGTCCAAATACTCCACGGAGGTAGCAATGGATAGCGAGAGGAACAATTCCTTTTAAGCTTCATTTCAAAATACCACATCGTGATAAAAAGATTTACAGTGTAGATCCAAAATTGATGAAGCAGAATTAAGAAATAAAATGTAAAGAAGTAGGATGAAACAACTCAGTCCCTTAGATGTTCATAATGAATTGCGATCATATTCGCAGATCATTACAGGTCTGTAGAGATCATCACCGTTGTTCCATTAACCATAATTATTGTACAATTAAATAAAAATTTTGTAGCAAGAGCAGCACGCTCAAATAGTCAAATTTAATGGAGAAATGTAGATGCCCCAGCGTACTTCTAAAGCAATGAAGAGAAAAACACCTTAGGAGACATGTGGCAAGAGCAGCACGCTCAATTTTGCTTCAAGGGAACGAGTCGATCGGAAATTGATATCGATTCCGCCAACCAGATAAAGAAGCTTCTTCACATTTCTTTTTCAAATCGAGCGCATAAATTAACGAAAAGATATTACAAAAACGGAGAAACTTATGGGAAGATCTGAAGGCATACCCTGAACCCTAATTTTATGATGCAATGGAAGAAAGGAGCCGTCAGGCTCCGAGTAGATTGGGAGAGTAACGCAAAGCCTAGTTATATAGAGAGGGCAAGGGAAATCTAACGGCGTCGATGCTTCCACAGGAGATTTGTGGCTGAGATTTAAGAATGAAGAATATAAATGTTTAGGGTTTGAATCTGACTGGGTATTTAGGTTCCAATTGAGGTATTTGGATATACTGGAATCGGAATATTTTAGTTGAGCCATAAATTGGGACTTAAAAAATTTTGATAAATATTTAGTTGAAATTAACAATTAATTTAATCATATAAATAAGATTCATAATTTTTATCTTTTTTTAATCACATTTATTTTAATTTCTATTAAAATTTACTAAAAATTTGGAGTAAGTTTAGTTTGCTTTCAAATTGTTTTCATTTTTGAAAACATGTTTATGTGATATTTCTGAAAACTGAAAATTAAAAATCAACTCAAAACTGAAAATTAAAAATGAAACACAAAACAGAAGAATAATACTATTTGCAGTCGCTCACTGCGACAATCGCCCTACGTGACATACATATGGCAGGTGGTTATTTGATGCATTAACAAAGCTATACCATTATTTTTAGCCATACCAAATATATTAACAGGGCTATCAACTCGTAATTTTAGGATTGGGAAGTTGATGATTGATTTGTTCAATTTTGTAAGTTGAGACAATCAAAAGATTGGAGAACAAAATGCAGTTATTCTTAAAATCTTAATTAAATGATCCAACTTTATAAGGTGTTACTCTAATGATAATTTAATGAATGTTAAATTTCCTTTAAGTGTTCCTAATTAAAATTTTAATAGATTTTACTAAAATTCATTAAAACCTAGATATCTCCAACTAAGGTTTGAATGGATTTCAATGAAATCATTTAAAATTTAGATATCCTAATGAATTTTTAAAATATTTGAATAAATTTCAATCTTAAAAATATACCTAACAAACTCTTTTTGAGATTCTTATAAATTTTGTGAAAATTTATTCGAATTCATGAAATTTATTAGAAATTAAAATTCACTAAAATCTATCTAGCATCAACCATCTTTACTAAAATAAGCATTTTCAATTATGTATGGATGGTAAATATTAATAGTTGACCTGGCTTACTTTTTTAGGTAATTATGATGCCTAATCAAGTTGTGAATGCAAAATTTGAACAAGATACTACTTGATTATTATCCGGTAGATGACGAGTTAGTTTAAACTTTGGTAGCTACAACTCGATATCATATTTACCTAGAAACTCTAGGGTATTTTTAGAATTTAGGTCAAAAATGAGGGTATTTTCAAGATAAATAGGAAATGGGGCTAAATATAAAATTCTCTATCCAACTTGGTCCTCAAGAAATTTCATGTACTCTTAGCTGGATTTGGGATCCATGCACCCCAAGAGCAGAAAAGAGAGGAACTACATAAAAATCAAATGAAATGAATCTGAGTGAGAGACAATTCTTGCTAGGATCTTAACAAAATATTCCTTTTGTCAATTTCTTCTATGTTCTAATCTGGTATATGCATTCGGCTTGTGTAGTTAAAGAGAAGCTTAAAATTTTTATATCTACACAACAAACTGTATGAACAAATACGCGAAAGTAAAAATTTAACGCGTTAGCAAATCTTGTTTACTCCAAGAGCTTTGACACATCGGTGGTGATAGGGACCTGAGAGCTGCTGGAGGAACTGAGAATGTAGGGTGTAAGCCAGCCAATAGACTATACAATGTTCAATTAATTTCCATTACAAAAGACACTGCCTACCAACCAATTGACACAACTTTTAAAAACTATGTTTAACAAGCAAGGAGATGGAGAAGAGAAAAACTTCTAGGTCACATCATATTATATTTTTGTTGCTCCCTTTGCTTGGGGGAGATTCCCTACAAAGCTAGCACAACCATCAGCAGAGCACCAATCAGCAAAGAGTTACCAGACCTTGTAGAGTCGTAGACTACTTGAGTTGCTGGGTATCATTCTGTTCAGGCAATGGTAGCATTTTGTTTTACAACGCAACTTCCACAAGATTATGCTGCCAATATTCATCTACTCCACCAGCAGATTGTAAAGAACGTAAGATCACCAGATCAATTACTTGTATCGTTTCCCCATGCACCGTCCCACTCACTGTTTGGTGCATCCTTGGGTCCATCAATGTAGTTTTGACTTGCATGGGGATGGTGAGGTCCAGGAAGCCCGTCCATGCCGGGGAACTGAGCGTTCTTGGGTTTTGTTTTGATTCCTAATAGTCTCAGCACAAATCTAGCAAGCTCCCCATACAATAACCCGGACCGGTCAAACAGCTGCAAATGAATGCATTTCATGGTAAGCACGTGAAACACGCTAACAAGTTCCTGACGACAAAGTTGTAGATTCCATTCAATGTATAGTTGGATTTTGGCATTAAACAAAAACCAAGAATCTACCTGAAGAAGGGCGGTCATAAACATATGGAAAGCCTGTGTATTCTGATCTATCAACATTGCAACCCGGCCAAAGAAATTTACTGCACCATGCATCTGCAAGTGTCACCAAAAACTATAAATAAAAAAACCAACATACTGAGTGTACCACAGATAAGTGAGGGCTTAAATGAAAATGAGGTAAGAAAAAGTTCAAAAGAAGGCATAAAGTAATTCATTCATGCTCCATCTGAAAATTGTCAATATATGTTTTCTTCCCACAATTAGGAACGGTATCCTACAATAAAACTAAAAATCCCAACCTACAGTATTGGTTTCTCAGTGCTAATTACTAACTTTCCTAGTACACCCTCTTTATCTTTTTCCAGTTGCTCTTTCTTTTTGTGCATGCTCAGTGTTAGTTTGTTTAAGACCTCATTAGCATTGCAGGGCAATGGCCTGCAATCATCTAACAAATCAACAGCAGCATTTTTGGACAATCATGGGATAATTCCAATATAACATTCCCCTATTCTAGGGAAAATTGCAGACGAGGTACCAAACTTTCGTTTATTGGCAGACTTTGCCCAAACCTTTCATTTGTACCACTGGAGGTACCCAGCCTTCAAAAAAATCGCACCCGGAGTCCAAATTAACAAAAACCGTTAGTTTGACTGTTATTGACCAAAAATTAAAGGTCTAACCAATTGTTGCCTGATTTTTAAATGGGCAAATGTGTAACTTTACCTTTTCATATAAAAATTTAAATAAAAGAATAATAAAACAGTCATCTTCTCCACCCACCCAAAACTAAAAGTCATCTTCTCTACCCACCAAAAACCAGGTATCTGCGAATAAAATCAAAAATTGGAATCTCACTGACTTCCTCACCTTCCCCGGAAGCTTGACTGAAATCTCAAAAGCTAATTTCAAACCTTGCAACTCATTTTCCTCACTCTCCAAAAATCAGTAAAATCTAGAAGAAAGAAAATAAAAACCCTTCTTTGCCCATCGACAAGAAGCCATCGAATACCAGTGCATTTGTATGGACTAGTTTTTGGGAGAAAGAAGATAAAAACCCATCAAATGCCCATTTCATTTACTAGTTTCTTTTTCTTTTTTTTTTTTTGGCCCCCTTTTACTCTCTTCCCTTGAAACCCTCAATTCCATTTTTTCCCAAATAACCCCTCAAATCCTACAAATATCCCCACTATATCCTCTCCTTCTCCTCCCATTTCTCCTCTCACTGGTCATTCTCCCAATTTACATCGGAGCTAGTCATTCTGGAAGTGCAAATTGGTTTTGTTCATTTACCAAACTGGTTTTTGGTTTTCTTGGGGGTGGGGAGTGGGGATGTGGGGCGTTGAGTGGAGATGATGATTGGAGTTTTTTATTTTTTGGTTTTAAATATAATTCTTTTATTTAAATTTTTTATATGAAAATGTAAAGTTACACATTTGCCCCTTTAAAAATCAGTGACAATTGGTCAGACCTTTAATTTTTTGTCAATAACAGTCAAACTAACGGTTTCTATTAATTTGGACTTCGGGTGCGAATTTTTTGAAGGTTTGGTATCTCTGGTGGTACAAACGAAAGGTTTGGGCAAAGTCTGCTAATAAACGAAAGGTTTGGTACCTCAGCTACAATTTTCCCCCCATTCTAAATCTACCGATTAACTGGACAAACTCGTTACAGCTATATATGACTTGAAAATGACGAATAGAATCTGGATCTAATGAATGTTGACCAAACATGAGTCTTTCAAACAATCAAAGCTTTTGTTCCATTGTTAAGCCCAAATAAGAGGCCAACAGAGACACAATTTCTTGGCTTACCACTCGCATTAATGAAATCCAGAAACCTGGTGGAGAAGATGGAGCACCATACGGATTATTTGGATCCTGCTCACCATTTGGACCGCCCATGCCCATGCCCATGCCCATTCCCATTCCCATTCCATAACCTCCCATACGACCTCCAAAGCCACTATTATACATTCCCCCACTATTCATGCCTCCTCCATAAAGTCCGCCATAACCTCCTCTGCACATGTTGTTGCCGTACAATCCACCGCCATACGACCCTCCAAATCCTCCAGATGTACCGTACATGCCAGATGAACCATGCAAGCCAGATGAACCATACATTCCTGTTCCATAACCAGAATTATAATTCAGGCCAGAACCATAAGCTGAATAGCATAGAACCAAGAGGCAAGCTTCCATCAGACATCATAAAGGATATACATATATACAAACATTTTGTGTTGGTGTGTGTTTTATGCCAAAAGAATCAAACGGGCTAACTAAAACTACATGAACCGTGCCCATCTCTAAAATTTTAATCATATTCCAATCGTTGTCGGAGGAAAGGCAGACAGCTACATTGGCTTGCAGCTGGAGGGCCTTCCCGGTTTATAAATGGTATCTGAAGATTGAAACGCCCAATTATAAGATGACATATGCTTATCACACTTAACATTACATGTCTAATCAGGATAACGAGGTCAATGTCTCCTTTACATGTATATTATCTATCTCTCTTTCAATTTCGTTTTGCTATTTTCAAGGAGGCCAAATTCATCATATTTGTACATAATGCACAGTGCTGAAAATCATATAGAGAAGTGTATGAATACTTGAATGATGCCTAACTAGCCTGCAAAATTCGAGAGCTGCTGCTCTGCCCCTGCTTGAGGGATGTGGTCTTTTCTTCAAGGAACTGGAAGGATGCTCTTTCTTGACTTTCTTGTAACCCACTAGTCCCCTCCATCGTTGGGAAAATCAAGAACACTCCTTTTCCTCAAATTTTAATTTATTTATTTTTTTTCCCTTTTAAAGGTATTTTCATACTGTTCTATATTTCACGTGGCATGGACTCTGTTATTAATTTTTGACGTGTACACATCCACATATGCATGTCATGTAATCTATTAAATGATACAATTGACTAGACGAGATAGAATTGATATGGTAAGTTCCCATATTGCTTGATTGCCAAAATTGAAAGGTCGTATCGCATATAGAAAAACCTAAAATTTGAGAATTTTTTCTTCTAAAATTTACTCAAAACAATTCACAGATTTACTCTTCCATTTTTGTGTCAGGGCTATAAATATTAACCGAGAATTTAATTGTTCAAACGATATAGTTGGTGACTAAGCACATGATAAAAATAATAAATCAAATAAAAAAGTGCTTAAAATTAAATAAAAAAATAAATTTACAACTGCAAAACAAAAGTATCCATCTATTGTAGATAAAATTGTTGATACCTCCGTAAGTGCTTCCATAAGTCTGTTGTTCCCATGGCCTAGTAGGAACAGGTCTCCCAACTGTGTTTCTGTTAAAATTTGTATTCCTATCACCTGTTGAAACTTCACCGGGTTGTGCAGTTCCAGAAGCCTCCACTACATCACTCGTACTACCAGCAGAAGTCGGTTTAAAAGGTGCAGGACCAGAAGAGGGCCCAGCTCTTTCCCACGGTTTCTTGGTAGGGCTACTTCCTAATATAATGGATAACACAATAAATAGATGGGCACCAAAGGAAAATTTACATATGGAGTATAATAATACAACGTATCAAAACTGCTGCTTGAAATCTAAAACATATGGAACTTACTGAAACCACATCTTGAAAACTACACATGCGGAAACCAAAGGAAGAAAATTAAGGTAAATGATTCTCCATGCTGCACTCAAAGTCTCAATGCATCAGTGACACGATCAAACATGCCTAGAACAAAAGTGATTTTCTAAGACAAACATATAGCATCATGACATGTCCGTGCCTTGTCCATTGACAAAACTAAGAGAAGTCAGTCAATAAATCCTTGTAGCTTCTCCTCCTCAAGAATCCCTATTTACATTTCTATGGAAAAAATGCTTGACGTATCCTGTTATGTGGCTGTTTTGATAATTCAATGTTTTCTTTACTTTATTTTTTGTATTTTGAATAAGTCATGAGTAGTTATGGATCAATCTATGCCTTTGGGTTGTTCCATTACTTTAGCAAGATAATAGGCTATGTGAAGCACGTGACAGTAATGCTCTCATTTATTCGTATATAAAACCTTGTGTTGAATAAAACTGAGATTGTGATTATCTGCATTCAAACTGAACATTTAACTATGGGATGTTTTACACCCTTGAAAAGCCAGAGGTTTATTCAAAGTTTCGACTTAATTCTTTAAAGTAAGAGCCTAACAACTGGGTATTTAGGCTGAATGAATTATTACATAATCAATCCTATATATAAGAGTACAATCCTATCATTAGAAGGAAAGAGAAAAAAAAGGAAAAAATAAAAAATCCTATTACTAAAAGGAAAAATATTAATTTCCAACTAGATTAGGATATAAGCTAGAAAGAAATATTTCAGTAATCTCCATTCTAACTTTTCTATTCTAACTTATCATTTGGTACAAGGTCCACGCATTGAGCTGCTAAAGAAACATCTGGAACGATTGGATAAATGTTGGAATGACCAACAACCACAGAACTCTTATACCAATTCACGGAGCTGATGATTGTATAAGTGCTTCAGGAGAACTGAACATCGGAAAACAGCTGCAGGAGATGGGAATCAGGGAAACTTCTTCTCCATACCTTCACAGGCTAAATGGAATCCAATTAAATCAGCATTTACAATCCAATCCATTGAATATCTTCTTACTCGAGACGGAAAAGTTGGTTCCAGAGCACAGTGAAAAGGACAATAGAACAAATTGAATTTGTTCCAGTCAACAACAAGAGTATCCTTGCCCTCTTCTTTTAAGTTGGATGGTGATGCAAAAACATGGCATTATTCGATATGTTTAGAACTTATAATTTCATTAGCTCCCAAATGGGAAAGACTGGACTAGTTATTATGCTTCACAAACAACCAGATTTACCAGAATGCCAGTAAGCATATTCTTTCAAATGATGGCGTCAACAAAGCAAGCTCTAGGAGGTGCAATTGAATATCCCAACCAATTCAATTGAGGGAAAGCAGGGGGTTACTACCCATAAGAAAGCAATATCGCCAGTCCCTCACTACCAAGGTTGGACCGCCGACCAATTATAGTGAGACCTTACTTGTATCCTCACTTCTAAAATAGGAAATTGAGAGGCCTGCAAAGGAAGCCGCTGTTTGCCCCTATTAAATTAAAATTCATTTTTCTCTCCCTTTTTATCAATCACGTTTTTCAATAAAATAATATTACATGTAAATCTAAAAACTTTTTCTTCCTTTTTAACCACACATTTTTCAAAAAATTACTATTCCCCTCATTATAATTCGAAATAATGGAATCCAAACAGGGGCAAAATGTTTGGCTTTAGTAATGATTTGATCAAACACAATCCCTTATTCATTGCTGGTGTTCTTGGTATAAAAACAAGATGGGTCATGGTGGACATGCATCAATATATAGCTTAAACAAAATTACAGTGACAAATAAATTTCCACTTCCTATAATTGATAAGCTCTTGGAAAACTAGTTGGATTTTGAAATNCTAAGTTAGAATGCACTAAAAGATGTGGCCAAATGGCCTTATCAACACATCAAGGTCACTAAGAATCATAGGTAATTCCACTCAATCTCCTTAATGTTCCTTCAACTTTCCCAAGCACTCATGGATGATGTATGCGAGGAATATAAAAACAGTTTTTACCACATTGGGACTGACGTACTTGAAGCTTACAAAATGCAACTTCGGGCAAATGACAGTTAAATAATCGGGTGATGTGAAACAGAAAATTCGATAATTGTTGAAGCAAAGGCCTCTTGGACGAAACCAAAAAGTACATAAGCTTGGAGAGGATTTCCATGTTATTATAGGAAATTCATCCAAAACCATGGAAAAATAGCATTTCCATTTCCCACTCACTGTTATGTTGGAAAAGAAATGCTCAATTGGGGCCAACTTGCACAAGAAACATTCTTGAAAATAAAGCTCGACGGGCTACAACTCTGGTACCTATCTCTCCAGGATTCTTTTAAAAGAATTATTTGAAAGCTTATCTCACCCGACGCAGTCATTGACACGGTCAAATCAGGTTAATGGTTCAACTGGGTCGGTCATTGTAGGTTCGGAAGTCTAACTAGCAACGCACTTAAAAGTGAATGGCAATCCTAAGTAATTAAAATTACAGAAAAATTTGAAAAAATATGCAGTGAACTGTAAAAGCTGCAGTACAAACAGTGGGTAATTTTTTCTAGGACTGGCTGCCCAAAGATTCTCAACTCATGAGCCCAAGGACTAGCGCTATTTGAGATGTTGCTCTTGCTCAAGGCCTAAGGAGTAGTTCGAATGGTTGTCTTAGACCAAATACTGTTACAACACATTAAAGCTAGTTGGCATTCAATGGTAAAATGGTACTATTTGAAATTGTTCAACGTTTCCTCCAAAATTGTTAGACTTATATTCCTATTAATGCAGAAGTTGAAGATGTTGTGCAAGAGCTACTTATGTGTCATTAAATTCTAAGAGAAGTGAAGGAGAACATCCAACCAGCCCACAAGAGACAGAAGATTATTTATGATTTGATGTTGGAAATTTTGTTTATTTGCAGTAGCTACACTATCGATGTGTTACAGCGGCAGTGTGAGGAAACTCGGAGCCTTCAGAGGGATCTTGTGGGCCATTTGATATCATATAAATGTGGGCTAGGCATATAAGTTGAGGCTACCGAAAAATTTATGAATTTCACATTCAGCCACTGACAAAGAAGACTATATATCATCATCAGGAGAAAACTAATCTTCCTGAGTTGAATGTAAATGATGACCAAGTTCCAGTACCCAGGTTGTTTTTTATCAAACTAGTGATGGATAAAAATAAGACACTGGAGGTTTTATAACCTCGAAGAGCCAGCTATTTCTCCAAACTCCGCACCTGATTCTTTAAACATGGAGATGACACAATCAGCTTACGTAGAGAACTAAAAATTCCAGTAAAAATTGACCACTGGTGTGTCATTAAGTACCGAGAAACACAATATAGCAAGAAAATTTCTCATTTACTCAATGTATACACCAAGCAGAAAATGGAGATCCGATTGCCAAGAACCTTAAAACAAAATTAGTACAATTTCTTTTTTCCAAAATCAAACATCAAAAGCCCATTAAAATTTTAATAAACTTTTCTCCTCCTTCTTTATAACCACACGTTCTTCAATCAAATAATTTCCACCATAAATTATAAAAAATAAAAAATAAATAAATTACCTACTCCATAATACATTTTACCACAATTTCTCATTATAAACAAGGGCTTACAGCAATAGGTACAAGTTAACAAATAACAAAAATTGTTAAGGAGTTAAATAAAACCACAATACTGATTAATGGAAACGAATACATATTGAAATTGAATTCATCTGCACCCACCTGATGATTGCTGGGCTTTGTTTTCCATAGCAGAGAAGCGGGGAAGAGAGAGAAAAATTGGTTGCAAAGTTCCAAATTGTGGTTTATCTCTATTGCAATGCCCAATAAAATATGCTTCTATCCGTATTTTTGCAATGCCCAAGAAAATATGCTGCCATTTCTCAGACGAACGAGTTTGACACCCATTTTTATAAAAAAAATTAAATTTTAGAATAATTAATTGATGGAGAATGTGTGAATGAAAAATAATGTTCTTGTTTGGCCCTCATTAAATTACATTCTATTATATTTTATTTTTTTCTTTTTTATTTTCAATCTTTCATAAAATAATATTACAATTTTCTAAGGAGTGCTTGACAGCTTTCAACGCCTTAAAAGAAAAACTGGTTTCTGCTCCAGTATTGGCTTCTCCAGATTGGAATTATCCGTTCGAGCTTATGTGTGATGCCAGTGATCACGCAGTGGGCGCAGCGTTAGGTCAACGAAAGGAGAAAAGTTCTCATGTGATTCACTATGCTAGTAAGACTTTGGATGAGGCTCAAATGAATTATGCGACTACAAAAAAAGAGCTCTTGTTAGTAGTGTTCGCCGTTGACAAATTCAGATCATACTGGATTGGGTCAAAAGTGATTGTCTATACAGATCATTCAGCATTAAAATATCTAATGAGCAAGAAGGATGCAAAGCCGAGACTTATTCGTTGGATACTCCTATTGCAAGAGTTTGATCTGGAAATTAGAGATAAAAAGGGGAGTGAGAATGTTGTGGCAGATCACCTCTCACACCTTGAATCACATGAGTCAAATCCTACATTGGAGATCAATGAAGTCTTTCCTGATGAAATGCTCTTTCAGATTATCACTACACCATGGTACGCCAATTATGTCAATTATTTGGCCCGCTCCATCATCCCACCAGACTACTCGAGTCACCAAAAGAAGAAATTTTTCAGTGACCTAAAACACTACTTTTGGGATGATCCAATTCTTTACAGAAAGGGTCCAGATCAGATCATACGCCGTTATGTGCCAGAGGTGAAGCAGCATCAAGTATTAGAGTCATGCCACTCTGCACCTTATGGGGGCCACTTCGCAGCAACCAAGACAGCAGCAAAGGTACTGCAATCGGGTTTTTATTAGCCTACATTGTTCAAGTACGCCCATTATATGGTAAAACATTGTGATAAGTGCCAAATGACTGGAAATATCTCAAGGAGGAACGAGATGCCTTTGAACAGTATTTTGGAGGTTGAAATATTCGATGTTTGGGGTATTGATTTCATGGGACCATTTCCTCCATCCTATGGTCAACAATATATACTGGTGGCAATGGACTACGTGTCCAAGTGGGTTGAAGCTGTGGCTTTGCCAACTAATGACGGCCGAGTAGTGATTCAATTTCTGAAGAAAAATATTTTCACGAGGTATGGCACCCCGAGGGCAATTATTAGTGATGATGGAAAACATTTTTGCAACCACTTATTTGCTTCGTTGTTGGCCAAATATGGAGTAAAACATCGTATCTCGACTCCATACCACCCTCAGACTAGCGGGCAGGTGGAAATCTCTAACAGGGAGTTAAAGAAGATTCTCGAAGCTACGGTCGATGCATCACGTAAAGATTGGGCTAAGAAACTAGACGATGCACTTTGGGCGTATAGAACAGCATTTAAGATTCCAATTGGCATGTTTCCATATCGACTAGTATTTGGAAAAGCTTGTCATCTGCCGATTGAGTTAGAGCATAAAGCATACTGGGCGACACACTTGCTCAATTTCAATATGAGAGCAGCAGGAGAATAGAGTGTTCTACAACTTCATGAGCTAGATGAGTTTCGTTTGGATTCGTATGAGAATGCAAAGAATTATAAGGAAAAGACCAAGAAATGGCACGACAGGCATATAAGGGAGAGGGAGTTTAAGGTTGGTCAACAAGTATTGATGTTCAATTCACGCCTCAAACTTTTTCCGGGAAGCTAAAGTCTAGGTGGTCGGGTCCATTCACAGTAGTAGATGTATTTCCACATGGTGCTGTGGAAGTGGTGTCTCAAGATCAACAAAGGAGGTTCAAAGTAAATGGACAACGGTTGAAAGCTTATTGGGGAGGTGACTACTCCAATGAAAAGCAACAGTACCCCTGGAAAATGTAGAGTAGCCAGGACAACAAAGTCTAACTAAAGACTATAAATTAAGCGCTTATTGAGAAGCAAACCAATTTCTAAACATTTTATTTATTTTGTTTTCTGCATCGCATTACATATAGAATTGTTTTAATTATTAGTTGCATTAGATTTAGGCACGTTTAAATTGTAGAGCATCATCATCCGATCATGTTTTCATTGAGGTTCTTAAATATAATGTTGGTTATTTCGAGTGTTTGGGCTAAGTAACGCATGTTTTGGATTTTTTGATCTCTACTGTTTGATTTGATTGTCATATGCAGAAACATGACGTCGTAGAACATTCAAACCAACATCGACCAAAGGGAAAGCATGATGAGAAAGATTGTCTAGCCGTCACTTGCAGTATCTTCCACGTTTAATAAAAAAATTCGAGGAGTACCTTCGTCCTTTTCTTCCCCATCCCCTTATATTTTTAATTATATTTTAAGACATTGAGGACAATGTCGGATTTAGTTTGGGGGTGGGAAACACTTTGTGTTGTTGGTTTTCGTATACTTTCGTGCGTTGTTTACTTATGTTAAAAAAAAAAAAAAATTAAAAAAAATGAATTTTAATTTTTTTAATTATTTTGCATGCTTGTGTGAGTTAGATAGTCCTGCAGGTATTGATTTGTGTAATTAAGAACATGTGTTATTTTATGAATTATAGACGAGTTATGTGTTTAAGTTAGATTTTTGCTTATTCATATGAAATGGAAAATATTTATGCACTCGAATTGATTGTAACGTTGGGCATAAGTAGGTTGATTTATGTTTATAGATTGAATAAGAAAACTTAAATGCTAAACCCAAACAACCTTTAAACATCATTATATCCTTAAATCAAATATAGGCTGTTTGGTAGGCTAAGCTGTTGTAGGGAAACTTGGAGACATATGTGGATTCCGTGTATGCTAAATTTTGTGTGGATTGTCTGAGACTAATATGATGAAAATTGGGTGAAAACCTTAAGTTAGAGGTCAATTTTCTAGAATAAATGTTTAATAAGGGGCATTGCACTAATCATTGCAAAAAAAAAAAAAAAAAAGATCCCAATGAGGACAACTTTAATAATCTCATTGTGAATTGTCTCTTCGTAGCCTTTATGACTCGAGTGATTAAGCCTGTAGGGGTTTAAAACCTGGTGTCCTAAAGTCGTCTGATTTGGGAGTTATCGGCCTAAAGCTCGCTACAGGGGTCATTTAGAAAGCTTAAGGGAGAGACGTCTGCACAAAGAATGATTAAGGAATAAAATCTAAATCTGAAAAAAAAAATTGGAAATCACATGTCTTGATTAAGCCCCAAACACTTGTTTTAAAGAATTGGACCTTTGATAAGGGGTTAGTAACTTGATTTATTCTTAGAGGTTGAAGCGGTCAATAATAAGGAGAATCCTCATTTATTGACATGATGAACTGCAATTAGTGACATCTAACCAAACTTGAGTGGTGTAAGAGTTTAGTATTGGAAATTAACTTTAGAATACACCTTGGGAAGTGAAAAGAGAACAAGTTTGGGGGTGTGCGAATCCCACGAGCGAAGTTAGGAAATATTTGACTTTTAAGGTCGGGAATTGAATCAATTTACTATTGTACAACGTTGCAATTAATTTCTCACACACACACCCGTTTTGCATTGAATAGGTGAGAATTTTAACTTGTGCATTATAACTTTGAAGTAATTCATGCAATTGACGCTATGTTTTCAATCTCGAGCCATGAAGGCAAGCTATCTAGCGAAATTTGTTTTAAGTGATTTTGTTTGTCTTAGTTGTGTTTGTATGTCTATTAATTATTTCTATTGGTTTGGTGTTTGCTCGAGGACAAGTAAAAAGTTAAGTTTGGGGGTGTTTGATAAGTATATTTTATATACTTATTCGTGACTCTAAAATAGCGATATTTAATAGTCTTTTGGTGAAATATATTCCTAAATTGTTGTTTTTATGTTTAATAGGTGGATTTCTATGAATAAAAAGGAATGAAAGGAAAGAAGCAAAAACGGGCGGAAATAGCAAAATCCCAAGTACGTGGATTAAATTGGCCATTGGATACAATTTTTGGGAATCAAAGTCTAACTATAAAAAGTGGACTGATTTGCATCGCTTCGAAAATTTAGTACTAGGAGAAAAATAATTGATTAAATGGCCTTCAATTGGACTGGCCTTGGAATTCAAATTTAATATTATTTTGGACCCCTAATTGGGCTACAACAAGGGTTTAATTATTGAGGTATATATATACAAACACATGTAGAAAAAATAGGGGGAGCCGAGGGAATTAAAGAGACTGCCGACAGGAGAGTCAGAGAAGCTGCCGGCTGCAGGAGGAGATTGTGGGGGCTGCCGACTGGGGTTAGGCTTCAGCTGCTGAATTATATAATATATACATACATAAGCTGCTGGTGGCAATTAGAATAGAGAGAATAAACATTGTCGGCCACAAACACAAATAGGGAGGAGAATTCTGCCATTAAAGATATAAACACAAGGAGTCGTGGGGAAAATTAGAAGAGCTTTTTGGGGATTATTGAAGTCGGTTGCAACAGATTGTAGGGGCTGAAAATTGAGTGGCGGAATTTCATAAAGTCGGCCAGCTTTGGGATTAATAATTCAGCCAGCTTCTGGTAGAGAAATTGGTGGGCTGCCTCTGCTGGAAGAAACCATTCACATGCATTAAAAAGGGGAGGAATTACACGGCAATTGCAGGAGAAAAAAATGGAGAGAAAGGGCTGACTTTTGGAGGCTGCTGTTATTAATATATGTATATACATACACGCAACAAAAGACAGCAGATTGGAGAGAAAAATAGAGGAGACATTGGCCGAATTGCGCTCGGAAAATTGAGGAATTAAACATATACAAAACTGCTAGGGGGCTGAAATTGGAACCTTTTGGAACTAAAAAGTGGACGGCAGAAGACAACTCACGGCCGATCATTGGGAAAAAGACGGCAACTTTAATTTGGATATTAATCACGTTTCATCAAATTTCGGTGACGTCGTTCCACTTT